TGGCTAAAAGTGTAGCAGTTCTGCTGGAGGAGGGGGCCAGGTTGTCCACAGAATTCCTCTCCCTTTCATCCTCCAGATATCAACGTGGTCCTGCGAAAATTGGTTTGCCTTCTAAAGCCCGATAAAGAGATCATCCACACAGGAGACCACATGGTCATCCGCACCATCACCTCCCTGCGGGACTATGTTATGGACTTTGACGTGGGAGTCCAGTTTGAGGAAGACCTGGGACCCGTGGATGGACGCAAGTGCCAGGTGAGGTGTCCAAGCAGTTCAGTTTCACAGGGGACTGGGGAGTGCTAGGAGGTTCAGGGACTTGCTCAGCTTTTGCTTCAAGAGCCAGATGAAAGCCGAGCCCAGAGCTGGCATGCCCCTGCAGGTCCAGGAGTAAGTGGTTCTATGAGTAAATGGTTCTATGAGTAAAACAGTCACAGCAAAGGAGATGAGCACCAAACAGCCAGAAAAAAACAGTACTTTGGGACCCAGAGGATATTACCCTCTTGAGCAAAGCCCTGAAAAGACAGAATGTCAGCGCACTTGGCAGTACCGTGTTGTTGCACTTGGAAGCCAGAGGGTCATTCACCTTCCACAAAGATCCCAAAGATCATCAGCCCCAAGGAGCCACTAAAGAGACACCAAATCAGGGACTGCATTTGAAATTGTGTCTGAGAGGAACACCCAGTGCCATCGCTGGAGACCTGTATTGCCAGGACCAAGTTGCATTGGAACCATGTCTTCCCCCTCTCCTTTTTTTTCAGACAACTGTCTCCTGGGAGGGAGATCAGCTGGTGTGTGAGCAGCTAGGAGAGAAGAAGAATCGAGGCTGGAGGCACTGGTTGGAGGGGGACCAGCTGCATCTGGTGAGGAAGGGTCCAGTGCAGCTTGCTAAATCCCAGTCACAGCGGGTGGGGGGACACACAGTGCCAGTACTGTGGGCTCTGAGCCAACCCTGCAGTTTCCTTCCAGCTTCTCTCAGACTTCATCCCCAGCTCCGCGGGAGCAGCCACCACTTCACACAAACATCCGCCTCCAGGGTTTAAAAGTTAAACTCCAAAGTTAAACAGCTGAACAAAGGCAATGTCCCTT